AATTTTGAGACTATTTTCTTTTACAGGTCATTTAATGGCTATCACTCGTCACGGAATCAACAGGCAGGAAGTGGGTGCCTTGATGCGCTGTTCATTCGAAGAAACCGTTGATATTCTGATGGAAGCGGCTGTACATGCGGAAGTAGATCCTGTGAAAGGTGACTATTGCCGAGACCTTGCTGCGAGATGTTGTACTTTTCAAAAAGGTTTCTTTCAGGAGTATCCGAGAACATTATGCTTGGCCAACTTGCCAAGGCTGGTACAGGCGCATTTCGATTTGGTTTTGGATGCGGAGAAATGTAAATATGGTATTGAAGTGAGTTACTTTACGTTAGCACCAGATTGTCTGTAAGATTTTCGCCGTTTTCCCTTGTGATATTTATTCCGAAGATTTTCACTTTTTTCAAAACTATTTTTTTGCCTTTTTTCGCGACCACTGATTGTCTAAGACTATTATGTTTGCGACGGAGACGCTGAAAGGGGAGGGGGCGAAGGGGAGGGGGTAGGGAGAAAGGTGACATCAGTTTATAAGACATTACGAACATTTTTTGTTTTCTAGGAGAACCGTATCTGGTATAGTATGAGTGACCTGAGTAGCTGAGTGCAATTTTGTTTTGCTCCCTTTTTCGACTATTTTTGAACAAGCGCGAGTGAAGTGCCATTGAGACAATTTGGTACTTGGGCTACGTGTTCGCTGGAGAGATTTCCTGGCATGGAAGGAGGATCAAATCCTGCACCCATCCATCGAAGCCCGCAGTTTTTGGACTACTGATTACGGCTCCCAACTATCATTGTTCTAATAGGGACACATAGTATTTTGGGAAGCCTCAACAAGGTGTGTCGTATTTGGTCGCTCGAAGGAGGGAAGTCGCAATTGCCCTTGCTGGAAATATTTTCACCGGTTTTCTCGTTTCTTGTGAATTCCTTTATTTTACCTTATATTTTTTCCAGTATTTCTTATTTTTCTTTTGATTGTATTTCCTTGTATTTGTACTTTCCCTTTGTTTTCCCTTTTCCAATCTATCCCCCTGTTCCACGCAGTTTTCGAGGGAAAAGGGAAAACTGGAAAACTTCTGAAAAAAAAACTCCAATAAGCCGTTAGGAATTTGGAAGATTTAGAGATATGGTAGGTAGGATATGAGATGGGGAAGGGAGGGGGTCGCCCTAGAAGAGGAACTTTTGAAGGGTGGCATATTTTGCAAGACTTTTCGCGAGGGCAAGGCATGCCCAATTCTAATTCATGTCTCTCAGAATGTTTGGGCAGCGTTCACACTTCGAATGGCAGCGCTTCGGTCGTGCATTCGACGCGATCGTGGCAGTCGAAAGCACGCGCATCGATCGCGACTCACGACCGAAGCGGTACCGTTGCAAAGTCTGAACGCTGCCTTATTATCTTTAATCCCCACCTACCCCTTTCATGATACTTTGTTTCTCTTAGTCTATGTTTATCTTGTATTTGGCTGTTTCCTGTTTTCTTTCTTCCCAGACGCTCAGTGCATTTCATTGAAATCATCTATGCTTTCGCAGAAAACTCCCATATCTCCTTCCAATAGTTCTGGCAATGACCACTATCACCCTTACTTGCAGGTGTCGACTATGATGGGTATGTATGGAGGCCTTGGGCAATATGGCACAGCACACAGTCCTGCTAGGTTAGTGAATAGTTAATAGATTGATTCCAGAATGTGGATGATTTTGTTAGTGCTTGTAGATGAACTTAACTTATTGCAGCTCCTCAATGTCTCCTGTGTCGACCCCATGGAATGGTGGTATGACTCCCGGATATGGAGCAGGATGGTCGCCAATCGGAAGTGGTATGACACCGGGTGCAGCTGGATTTTCGCCATCAGGCCATTCAGAAACCGGAATGTCTCCTGGATACGGAGGGTTCGTACTTAGAGATTAATCCTTGAACTTTGTAAGGGGTTGCTATTTGTTATATAGGTATAATGGAGTGTGGTCTCACCCCGGCACGTTCACTTCTTTTTTCACCAGGGACAATTCTTGAAGAAATGCTTCTATTTAATGTACACTATTATATTCGCTGTGTAGTAGCAAAAAAATTATGGGAAAAGTTCTTCAGAAACCTGGATATCTCATTAAACTTTTTCGCAAGTATTCCTTCGATTTTCAGCCGTTTCTTGCTACATTTCCAGTCTGATTCAGTTTATTGACCTCCTTTAAAAACACACTTCAACAAGATCGCGCGCTGACGATCGCACTCATGAACTGGTCGATGACATCATACAGCCTACAACTTTCGTGTTCCATCGTGAAAATCACGCCTTACCTTTTTATGGCGTTCGAGACAGGGGTACTTGCAGATCACCATTCATAGCTGCTGGTTTCGACGTTGTGCTGGTAGAATCATACTGAAGTTGACTCTTTGGCATGGCCAGAGGCACTGTGCTCATCCTCTTGCCGGACAATTGGCTTCCGTCGTAGCCAACGGTTTTGTAAAGGCAGCAGCTTGGCCCAAGAAAGTTTTGATTCTGGCGGGCCCATTCGAAAAAAACGTGGTAGTTCCAGCTTTCAGTTTCGACATCGAACTCCCTCGGTCGTTGACTGGTAAGGCGCCGTAGAGAATACGTGGGCTTTTCCTCAAATCACTGTTATAAAGTCTAGCGCCAGCTAATCCAACCAAGTTGGGTTCTCCTCCTCATGGAATGCTGATGAGAGTGCAGTGCCCAGTTTTTATTTTTTCCTGTGGCATACCATGTTGAGATGAGACATGACACGTTCACAGCCCCTTTGGACCAAAGCGCCTTTGGTGAGTCTACTGTCGATCTGCCAATCGTCGAACGTGTAGACTAGCACATCAAGTGCCAAGAACTGTCTGCTATCATACCTGCTTCCAATCTGTTTGTTCTTCCGAGTTACGTATGAGCAATTCTGTGAGCGCTAGCAAGGCAGGATCGCCTCGTTTCCATGGTCCAGATAGTCGATCTACACTACAACCGCTTTTCAGAACTGTCCTACTGTTTGCGTTCATCTCCTGAGTACAGCTTGCGTCATTGTTATGTACCACTACCGAGGTAGTGGATAATGAGGTCTCTGGAATATGATAAATGATATTGTGTTCTGCCCGTTTGCACAGCAGTGCTGAGTCTGGTGTGGTGGTCGTTTTGCGGTGGACAGACAAGAGGGTGTGTGGTGATTCTATCGTCGGGTCGTCGCGCCGGTGGGCGGAGCGAGGCGGCGTACGAGTTTTGTTGCGCCGCGCGTACGAGTTTTGTTGCGTGGCGTTCAAATTGTTAAAGGGTCGACGATCCCTTTAACAATTTGAAAGAGGCACAGCTTGCTGTGGCCGTTGCTCCAATGACAACTCGGGAGTACGGTAATGCAACTCCGGGATTGCCGCGTCGCGGCGTGCCGCGCAGCGACGCGGCGCGGCGTGTGCGTGTGCGGCGTCGCCTGACTTGCCGACGATAGAATCGTCCGGGTGCCCAAACGAGAACCACGTACTGTGAGCATGTCGCCCGTTCCTTGGGTTAAAATATCTACTCGGGTTGAAACAGAAAAAAATGAGTCATTTATTAAGGATAGCATAAAATGGTCAAAAATTGAAGGCTTGCTTGCTAAGCATGTCATAGTCCCTAATTTTATTATTTAACCGAAAACATTCCTCCATTTTTTACGCAGTCAATCTAATAGAGTGTAATAGAAGAAAGGATCTGCACTTCTAGGGATGTTTTCGGTAAGGCAGCGTTCAGACTTCGCGACGGCAGCGCTTCGGTCGCGCGTTCGGCGCAATCGATGCCTAGAAAGCATGCGCATTGATCGCGTCAAACGGGCGACCGAACAGCTGCCGTCGCGAAGTCTGAACGTTGGCTAACAGAGGTGGACATATAGGTGAAATGCACAGCAGCAGTTATTTGTCATTCATGCATGTTTGTTTCAGAGAGGGAGGATGGTCGCCAACTTCACCTGCCGATCCTCTAGGAGGCATGTCCCCGTCAGGAGCTACACCACGTTACGGTGGAGCGATGTCGCCTGGATACTCACCAACGAGTCCAAATGCATTCGGAGCGCAAAGTCCAAGCTATTCTCCTACCAGCCCTCATTACTCCCCAACGTCTCCCTCCTACTCGCCGACGTCGCCAAGTTACAGTCCAACGAGTCCAAGTGCGTTTTTTTGCTGGAACATGTTCCTCGACTTCTCTTTGTTGAAAGCGTTTTATAGGCTATTCTCCAACATCGCCGTCGTACTCCCCGACCTCGCCATCCTATTCGCCTACGTCACCCAGTTACAGTCCAACCAGCCCCAGTGAGTGACCTTTTCTAAGAGTTACCTGTTACGCTTTTCACCAAGATGGTATTCACGCTTGCTGTTCAAGGTTATTCTCCGACTTCCCCATCTTACTCTCCAACAAGTCCCGGATATTCTCCAAG